ACGCGTGCCGCGATGTGCTGTACGGTTATGCGCAATCGAATTCATTCGTGTCCGCGCGCGAACGGCGAAAACTTTTCGAATCGAACGGTGATGAGTGAGTGGTCCTAGTGTTTAATAGTTGTAATTAAACGTCGTTTAACCATCGTGCCTACACGGAGTGTTGTCGTCACTTAACCGTTTCGTCGTGACAATGTCTTGCGCAAACGTGCGCACGACCTTTAGCGCCAACACGGATCAGAGATATTTTGACACAATGATTTCGCACATCTTCATTGTTCCAACGTTATTAACTGGACGATGAAAAAAAAAAATAAAACCTATTGGATTCGTGTGATGCGTGCAAAGCGAATAAGAACTATCGAACCGAATATGTACGTAAAATATTAAACGAAACGATTTCGTTAAAGATTTCTGACGAATTATCCCGATGATACACGTGTACACGTGTTTCGTTGGTTTCGAAGCCGCGTTCTCGGACCACACGCTCCAAAATACCGACACCGCGTACGGTACCCAGCAGAGAGGCTACGAGTTTCCATGCTGGCCCGTACACCTCCGTGCACAACACTGCGACCATGACGTCAAGGGGATTGCAAACCGTCGGTTATTTCAACTAAAACATACCAATCTTTTGTCAACTGTGACAGTGCGACAAAAATGTTGACAACTGATTTGAATTTGGCTTCATGTCTACGTTTGCGTACCGTAACGATAAACGTGTGCGAAGATATACGCAACGTACACGCGGGGTTTGCATTGTTGCGGTATTACGGTGTTAAGACGATCGGGGTCCGAGTTTTTGGCGATAATTCGGCGGCGTCTAAAACGTTTCCTAATGCTCTTATACGCGGCGGCGGCGGCGGCGACGATAGAGAAGCCTCGGACGTACCCGGGAAAATTAATATCACGCTGTCAAAATGTGTGTAATCCGACTCTCCGACGGCAGAGACCTTAAAAATATAATATAATATCATCGGTATGACACGACCGCGTCGAATGTGTGGCCCGCCGCCGGTAAATGTAGAAACTGTTATAAAACAATAATAATAATACATATTATAAAAGCGCGCGTGGGTCGCAATCGGACGTGTATAATACGAATATAATAATTACATTTTTTTTTCTTCCTCGGACGTGTAGACAATACGTGGTGTTTAGAGGTGATTAATATAAAAAAAAAAAAAAAAAATAAATCATATAATCGAATATTATATATACGTACACGTCGCGTATAAATCTTATGGTCTCCGATAATTACCGTGACGGGGTTTTTTTATTTTTACTTTTTTCAAACCGCGAGAAAACGTTTAGGCCTTATATTAGGAGTAACAAAACCGTGAACGAAACAATAACGAAACCAAACCGTACACGTTTCGCAATTATACGACTCGCTCTGAGCCGTTGTCGCGTCATCGCCAAACGTGTAAGTAAAAATAACAATATCAATAATGGAAAACAAAATGGAGTTTTGAAAACTATTTGTTCTGTGCCGCGCATATATTACCATAACTTCATATGTGTACACAAACACTGTCTATTATGTAAATGCACCGTGGCCGCTCATTGTTCGAGCCCACGGATGCGTCTATATCGCGGGGCGGGAGGAAGAGGACGCGCGCCGTTTCGATCCGCGGTGCAGGTGAAACGCTCAACGCGTACGTAATAATATTAATTCGTATGCAACCCATTACCGCTCGAGTATAATACACCGTACAGTACCCAATCGATATCGGTGACGCGTTTTCGTTTTTTTCCTGGCATTAGGTAGGTACGTGACACGAATGCGCGTAAGAATTCGTACGGAAACGTACGGGGGGAAAATAAACACGCGAATCTACAGACGTATCGGAAACGATAGATTTCGTTTTGGACATTTATAATGATTTTTTTTTTTTCTACCGTTTTCCAGGTGTAAATCGAACTAACTCCGACCCGATTGGTAATTTTACCGAGCACGAACAGTATTGCGCTTTTTCCGTCATCGAATTCTATACATTTTTAATAAAAACAGTTCGGGATTTCGAGATTATTGAGCGTAAATTAGCATTCAGTTTGTGTACACACGAAATCAACACGCAATTAAATGGGCTGATCTAAACAGTGCAGGACTTATTTCCCGGATGGAACAATAAAGGAATTTAAAGGATCCGGCGCGATTCATCCGACACCTGCTGCAGGTCGTCTACGTAGAGTTACCGGAGTGAATTTGTTTACCTTCTCTTTAGACGTTTTGCGGTTACGCGCGCGCGTATTTATATACATTGATACCTCGGTTCGTCGAGAACACACGTAAGTCACGCCAAGATGCACGACAGCAATACTTCACCGGAAGCAAACGCCGCCTCCGCGTTTTTAACACGTCGAAATGTATGTAATAGGATGTGTGGGTCTAAATTTAACGTGTACAAATGACACAAGCAGACCATCAATAATAGTATGCATATAATTGTACGCGGGCACATGTCTAAAATTAAAACTATGCGATACAAATCCGAAAAATCGAAATTTCAGTCACAGATCCAGATCATGGATTTCAATACCAACAACAACAAAAAATTAAAAAAAATTAAAAAAAAAAAGAAATTACGTGTAACTAACAATCATAATACACACTTTAAAGTGTGTATTATTAATAATACATATTAGTAATAATTATTACGATAGTCGTACCACTTAAGTATCCTAAACTCTAGTTCAATGTTTCGGAACTGGATTTCCTATTTCGAATTCAAAAACTTCTTTAAACCCTGATAACTGCTATCACCTTCAAGTGAAGACCGGCGGTACGCTGCACGCGATGGATTATATCTGCGTGGCAAGGACGGTACTAGGGGGTGGAAGATGGGGATTCATCCCCGGGCGTAAATTTTTAGAGGGAGTAATTTTTGTAATTATTAACAACTAATTTGATATTTTTAACTTTGTTAAATTCTGGTATTAGGTTAAGACTCAATAAGTATGATTGTATATTATTATTAGAAAAAAAATTCTCGGTAAGAGTATTTGATTATTGGTCTATGATGGTGCGTAATTTTAACATTTTCCCCGGGCGTAAAAATTCCTAGTTCCACGTCTGCTGCGCGGTAAAACGTACCGCGATAACCGCAACACTAAGTCGGACATGGGCGTGCGTTTCTAGCTCGGTAACATATTTGTACACTGGATTTGCATGCACGTGTATCTTTCATACGTGCAATAGCCGATGCCAACGTCATCGGATATCCCTTTGCGGCCGCGTCCGACGAACGACGACGACATATCCATCCTCTCCGTCCTCCGGTAGACGGTTGCGTCTTTCGTCGCCGTAGGCAAGCACGCACGTGAACGAAAAAAATATCGTTTTTTATATTTTCTCTCTGTCCCTCCGGCCGTGGTTGACACGTCGCCGCCGGTGTCACGTGCAGTGTGCGCGGCAACATCATCAATCATCGTCTTGTCAAAATTGGATACACCGCACGTACAAATATATATATATATATATATATATATATATATATATTGCATAGAGAGGGAAAGACGAAAATCCTAGGATCCTTTTCTAACAGATCAACTTCGGTTCTGCAGTCGTTTCACCAACCACAGACCTCTCGAGAAGACCCTCTTCGTATCATCGTTCCATTGTTACGACGGATATTGTTATATAATTGTCCTGCTTTTGATACGCATTGGAATTCGCGTGTATTATAAATGTCCATAAAATGCTAGTATACAAGCGTTTGGTAAATGTATTTCAAGTCCAAGAATTATCATACAAAAGCAAATTTCGCGATCTATTCGAAGTCCGTAGATTTACGCTAAGTTTAACTACTGTTTACCGCTTGTAAAATAGTTTGTGACTTTTCGGTAAGCTTTTTTTTTTCGTCGACTACGAATAACAACTTGCTCTGAACCTTGCACTTGGTCGACAAACTTTTAGTGTTTAAGTAATGAAAATGTAATATATTTTTAACTACAAAATGTTAAAAAAAAAAAAGAATCGTATGAGCAACTTAGTGACCAACATCGGAGTACACAGACTATTGCTGGCGAGAAACTCATATACCTTCGTGAAACGATCGTTGTAGCGGCATTGTATGTTAGCGAATTCTTCTGCACATACGTACATAATTTTTATATTTTAATCGTTTATTCAGACCTACTTACTGTATAATAATACACGGAATCGAAAATATTATTAACGGCTATGCTCTGTATCAACACTGGCAAACTTTGATTATTATTTATTTATTTTTATCTTTTGTCATTGTTATTGCATGTACACGAAACGTACTTTTATCTAAATACGCTAATAAATCCGAAAAATGTATGTACAAGTTCGTGTTTGTACACATGTATACGGAGGTCAACCAAAAAGTGAATTGCATTGGGTTACGTAGTTACGAGTAAGAAATCATTTTTTTTCTTTTTCAAAGAAAATCATAAAAATCTGATCACTGATGGAATTTTCACTTCGGACCACCTAAGTGCAGTGATCAACTAAAAAAAACTTTTAACCGAGTTCGATTCCACTGTCTATGCTTGGGGAGAACCGTACTGACGCCACCGATTGCCATCGAAAGATATTCGCTCGGGAAAATCGTCCAGCCCGGTACAAATTGATTTTTGATTCACCCACGCGTACGCAGGTGCAAGTACACAAAGGGGGGTTTCAGGGCTTAGACCCCCGCTCACCAAGGAATTCGGGAAAACCGTCAAACAAGTGTTTATAGAGCGAAAACGGTCTACGGACCGCGTAAGAGCCTGTATAAACGCGCCACCCCCGGCGCCCGAGAAAAAAATATTTTTTTTCGTGCACCCCGTTTGTTGCATACCGTATAGTTGTATGGATAAGTTGTATTACACTTAACTACGTTCGATCATTTAGAATTATTATTGATGTAATTATTATTAATCATTATCATCGCAGCCACACACGTTAATGGCGCGAAAATCAGTATTGAAAAAATTGAAAATCGGTACCCTGTCGAAATGAATACAAAAACGAATAAAACACCGCTCACCTGTCCGCTGATGTCCATCTCGTTGTTGGTGAGCTTGACTTTTTCGAACGACACGAACGTCTTGTGCAACTGGTCGCCGGTGAACGGCGAGTCGGGATGCGTGTACAACCGGTGCGGCGCGGGCGGGTCCGCCTTGCCCGCGACCAGCCACGACGACTTGTGGTACGCGTACCGGTACCGTTTGTTGTCCACCGGCACGATGTCGATGAGCACCGAATATTTTTGGTTGGGGTCCAGTTTCCGGAAGCACACGCGCAACGTCGGGAACATCCTCCTGGCGACACGCGGAAAACAAAAAAAAATCAATTAACAGAAATCCCGTCAACGTCGACTGGCTAGTCGCCGTTACTGCCGTGGCCGTTTTACCGCGAGATACGGTCCAACACTGGCCACCATCGTTTTGCAGACGTTTCACTCGTATTTCCGAAACATTTCCGCGAGACTCGTGCCGATCACAGGTCGGGGGGGGGGGGGGGCGCGAATATGCTACCTCGGTTACAACACGTCATTTTAAGGGATACGGTTCTACTACGGTAACACATCGATCCGGTTCACTCGTTCGGAATACCTTTTTTTCGGGACGAAACGGTACGAACGGTTTCAGTGCCGCGACATCGTTCACCCGTCCCTCCGTTCTCGCCCGACCCAAGAGCCTCGTTTTTATCACTACAATTATTACTGTTATTTTTATGTAAATAATATCGTTTAGCGGTACACGTTAATGGTTTGTTTTTTTTTTTTTTTTTTTTTTCATCAAATCCGTGTTGACACTCTGCGCCGTGCAGAAACCTGGATCCATCAGTGTTCGCTTCGGTCAAACCGAGTACATGATCATGCGACGCGGTGATTAAAATAAGAATACGTGGACGTGTGTACGTGTTGCGTATATTATTATATACCTACTCGAATCAGTAGCTCGTGATGTGTTCGAATGATGTTATTCTGCGATTCGTGCACTACATACTTAAATGATAAACATGTTCTCCGCTTGATGAGTGTTACATATAGCGTATACACTATAGATTCGCGATATTGTTGCGGAATATCAACACGCGCGGTATACCAAGAGCCTTGAGAATAGTAAATGATTTTGCGAGACAGCGATGAGATTGTAATATAATAATTGTATCACAAAATCGTTAAAGTTCTATCGCTTCCGTATTTATTCGACCACGCGCAGGTAAATGTTCGTAATTAAATTTCAACTTGAACCCACGGCCTTTCCGCGAGCGATTGCGTTTCTGAAAAGGCAAACCAAGCAACATTTCTTATCGTGCGTCGGACGTCATATTTCTGTCTTTTTATACGAGATAATTGAATGACGATTGCGCACGGTTCGTACACTATTACTGCAATAGTCGTATTCAAATCGTAACCGAAACGTTATTATTATACCGACGGCACGGAACAGGGTGGGCTATTATTGTTTTTTCAACGGTGTTCATTTGGATGCCGTGGTCGTCGTTGTAACAGAACGAAATTATTTCAAAATCAAAAATAATGTAAAACAGCTGTTTCGAATATTTAAAAAAAAAAAAAAAACTCGAGTTTTACATATTTCCTGGTCTTTAAAAATTGAATTATATTAATTTAATAATTACAGTTGGTAGAGTAATAAATTACGATTAGAGTGTGACGAACATATGGGATAAAATACTACTACGTGTAACGCAGGTAACTTAAATATGGTACCTAAGTTCTAATAATTACTGTAATTAATCAATAACTGTATGATTGTAGGTCAGAAAAATCCTCGCCCGACGCACGCGTGGTGATGTGTACACGTAAATACGTATATTCGTGTTCCAGAGATAGAGTTTAAAGAATTGGCTCCCGAGGCTAAATCTCGAAGTCATGCCACCACCGACCGCAATTATTATCGAAACGTTTTTTTTTTTTATAACAATGTGACAACATAATATTTTTCGCTCTCATCAGTACACGTAGATACATTATAGTGATGCATTGCTGTTTGTACTTTTTTAAGCCGTTTCGCGCGCGCACCTGCACTAACACGAACGCGCAGGGAAAAGCGCAGGTGAACGCGTACAGGCTAATTATCCGTTAAGTCGGAATATTATGAATTATCGTTTTCGCCGGCGCTCGGTAGTCGGCACTATTAATTACAATCGACCGAACGTGTATACACATAAATGACATAATGTGTATACGTGTATACGTTAAATAAATATACGTCTTTGTGTACATGGTGTACACGAACATTCAAAGGCAAAGTGCAGCGGGTGGCGAACGATATATTATTACGCGTACTATTTCGTGATCGAGGATACACAGGGGTGGACAAATCGATATGAACACCGTACGATATAGTTACGTGTTGTTCGTACTGTATCTGCAACATCACCGAAGGGATTAGCGGATATTTTGGTAGAAGAACGGGACGCAATTCCGTCTGAAACCAATCAGGTCCTTTACGAATCTGTTCCGCGAAGGATTGAAGCAAACGGCGGCCCAACACCTTATTCATAAATCAATATGTAAATATAAATAAATAAATTGCGCGTACATGTCAGGTGTTCGTATTATCTTGTCCACCCCATGTACATATGTACGAGTGTGCGTGCGTGAATTAAACCTGTACACGTTTTATGCGTTATTACCGTGCTGGGCGCGTTATCGAGACCGTGCGACGGTCATTTTTGCGCGAAACGAGCGCAGGCCGAATTATTGTTAAAAAAAAATCAAAAAAAAAAAAAAAACCGCTGGACCCCAGCCGCGCTCGTATTAACGACCAGGGACTCAGGTGCGACGCGCGGTAAACGCTTTCCGGATCGTATCCTTTATAATGACGATTTCGTAATTATTATTCTCCCTCCCCCAGTCGCGAACACGTACCCGTTTGGCCGCTATAAATTTACTCGATTAACGACGCTGTTACACATAATGTGCATAATACATACGCACGTGATTATAGATATAAACAATGCGCGTACAAGATATGAACCGGGTAGTAAAGCAGCGCCCCGGGTGGTGACCGTCGTCCGTCCGTCAATACATTTGATAGGCGTAAATAACGATAATGAACCGATACGTTACGGATAATATCGTGCCAACACGCACGTACCGAGAACAGTTGTCCTGGTCGTGCGTCCTCGTTCACGCGACTCGTTTGCTGTTGTTGCCGTAAATATCCCACGAATCGGTGCCGTACTACCGTGGTATAGACGAGCTAGGCACCTGCCTAGAACGGCGTTTTCAAAATTGACTCGTACATTTTATTTTATTTTTATATTTTTAGTCCTATCGGTGTTTTACAAGAAAAATATATAAAAATCATTCGTGAAAACCACTTACCCACATAATAAAACGATATTGTCTAAAGTTACTTTATATTACGTTGGGCGTTTTCGATCATTCCAAAAATATAAATAACCATACAATTGCTTTTCGTCAATCGCGATAGTGACGGGTTTCGAGTAATCATTATGGAAATCATTTTTAAGTATTTTTACGTACAACTTTTTTTATGTAGATATGTCACAAAAAAAAAAAATAGGAGAAAGGGCTAAGTTAAAGTGAGAGCTTAATTTTTTTTTCAGTAGCGGCAAAATTTAATTTTGCCTAGTGCACACTACGAGTATTTTTGCTTAGGCTGGCCCTGGATACGTCGCGTGGCATGTCGACAAATCTAGCGCGAAGCAAATCGTTGCTCGGATATTTTTTTACACCGGTTCAAGTACTCCATCCGGTTCCGACGCCTACGACTGCGCGCGCCCTTGCACGTGTTGTACCATCCATTCGGATAACGAAGTCAAACGCGTTTGAGATGCCTCGTTTAGTATTATTCGATCTTCGGTCGACGCGAATGGTAAAAGTTCGACGATCGGAGGGACCGCGATCGGCTACGAACACCGTTGCCAAGATGGCAAGAAACTGCGTCTCAATGTGTGATTAGAGCAATTCTAATCTGCCCTGCCTAACTTAACCTAACCTGCGTTGCACTGCATCTCAATGTACGCCTTGTCTTACACTCGAAAATCAATCGCTGCGCGTTATACGTACCGGTGCGTATTGCAATAAACACGTTTAGTAGTACCTACACGGGCGGTCATGTGAAATTAACATTTTTTTTTTTGTACGAACACGAAAACAAATATACAATACGGGTCCTTGACACGGATATAATGATTGAATATTATTGTTGTCGTAATAACATCAATAATAATAATAATAATGATTATACTTTCACGAAGCTATGTACACGCACGGTCGCACGCATCACGCGGGTGAGCGCGCGTACACGGATCCGAATGTAATGTCAACGATAACAATAATAATAATGCATAACGACGTGTAAAAAGGCGCGTGCACGGTGAAAAACTATCGGCCGACATGATAAACTGGTTATTATTATAATGACGTGCAATATAAATTAAACGAGTACCTTCCGGTGATGATGATGAAAAAAAACGCAAAAACCCAACCAGATACGAGAATTATAAAATTATAATTCACACGTTATACCGATACGTATGTATATTTATATATATATATATATATATGTATATGCACTTGTGCGCATTATAATGTTCGAATAAAACGCGTGTAAAAGCGTACCCGCCCGAGCGGCAGGAGCGCGCGAAAGACGACGACGGACCGTTAACATGTTTATTCGTGTCGTTATCGACGTGCGTACGACGAGCTAACCGCTGACCCGATACCGGGTACCTGTCCGCGAACGTACGTTCATTTTTATCGTTCCGGCGGGGGGGAGGACGAAGGACGAAGGACCAGTGCCGTGCCCGCTGATTTCGGACGCTGCACTGCGAAGGTCATCATTATTACACTTCACGTCGCGCGTAACATTATGCACGCGTTGACCTCTACGCGTCGGAGTGCACATTTATTGTCCGCGACAAGCCGCGCGTGATGTCGACCGCGGTACGCGCCCGGTGAAAACGTAACAGACCGCGACGTACAAACAGTTGGGGGGGAGGTGTTCAGGTTAAATGCCCCCCGACCCGAGGACCGAAAAAACAGAACCATGTTTCGAAACGGTAGGAACGAAAAGTACGTGCATCGCGAATATTTTAACGAGCGTGCGAATCTACGTCTCGACGTCGACCGCGATGAAATCGCAGAACCGTTTCAATCTTCCGTCCGATGAGGTGGTGGAAACGGTCTTCGGTGTTGACATAAAAAAAACCCTTCCTCGTTAGAAAATTTTATGTACGCTGCTGCGCACCCGTACGCGTTATTGCATATACTACTACATATACGTATACGCGCACGCGGAATCGAGACGTACGCGTT